CGTTTTTAATAAAACAATTATTCTACTCGCGCTTGTTGGATATGAGATGATTATAGCCAACTCGGCGCTACGCGCCTCGTTGGCTATCTATCATCTCATATCCAACGCGCGCTCGTGGAATAATTGTTAAATATAATAATAATAATAATAATAATAATAATAAATTAGGTTAATTCAGCATCTAACTGGTATAAATAAGCCTTACAAAGACTTTTAAAATCAGAAAGAGACTCAGACGTTCCGACATGCATAGGTAAACAATTCTAGGCTTTAACCGTTCTATGGAAATAGGAATATTTTAGCATGTTTGTTCTTGCATATTGAGTTTTAAATGACAGATCAGCATTTCTTAGTTCACATGCTGCATTTTTTCTGGAAATAATAAAACTAGATAAGTTAATATTTAAGAGTCCCTTTAAACATTTGTAAAAGAAGATCAAGTCAAGTAGAGTCCTTCAAGACTTAAGGGTTAGGGGTTAAATACTTTGAATACTTGAATATCTTAGTTTTTCAAACAAACGGAAAACAACCACACTCTTTCCCAGTCCTCTCACGTTTCTGCAATGGCCTATTTCTATTTTTTGGTTTTTCGCTCAAGACCTAATGATTACCGTGGTGATTACCCTGTAACAAAGCAGGCATGCCCAACAGGGTCAATTTTGGCCGGCTGCACATCTATTTTCCGCGCAAAATTTTAAAGGAAAATATACGAAACAACTGCTGGCTCGCAAAATGGGCCGAGAAGTCTTGGAACGTTCACAGAAATCTGTAAAAGTAAATAAAAGTGAGGAAAGGGAAAACTAGAGACTTTTCGAACACAGCTTATGTAATTATGGGTGTCTTGTTGAGTCACTCGTGATTGGAGCTTTATCATAAAAGTTACACGATCTAAAAACACTGTGACTCCCTGGCTTGTATGGTTGTTTCTACCTTCCTTAGACAATCTTGGTTTTGACTGCCTAAAAAAGAACGCTTCCTCGCCTCATCTCGCCACCACAGCGTTTGCACATGGGCAGACGGTTTATCCCATCAAATCGAGTCAGTTGACTTGAGGAGAAGTATGGTCCAGAAAAGCACTCTTTTTTATTTTCACCAATGATAAGTTAATATAAAGATAGATTACTCAACAAATTTTCGGCCTCCAAAGCGCTTCCTAACCATATGAGATCCTTGCACGAAAATCGACCAGTAGCGCCACCATCTTGGATGCGCCGCCATCTTGCTTGACATTAATGAGCTCGACCTTGCCAGGAAACTAACAGGACTGCAGTAGACCCGTATCACTAGAGCTAGAACGTATTCCCGACGAAAACCAGGGCTCTAATGACGATAGTGAAGCGTCTGAAGACTTAGCGGTCTAAACAGGTCCACTGCGTTCATAATAAACTCAGAGAAACTGTAAGAGAGTCCATCTGTTGTCTCGAGCAGCCCGAATCGCAAAACAGGTCTTCGGAAATTGTTAGTGTCAGAGCACGGTGAATACAGCACTCAAATGTAGGGCATGCCGAACTGGATCAAATTTTATAAGACTTCCAAGTTCTAACGACCCTAAGGCCTTCAGCAAGGCGTCACCGCCTCGACGTTTGCGCATACTGGACGTTTGACTGCTGTGCGGCACTCTTCTAACTTGAACCAACGAGACGGCTAGTTCCCAGATCCCTATCAGGGTTTATTTGAATGCTGTGACTGTGCGTCACTCAGTACTTTCCAGGCGTCAGTCCGACGCAAACAGCCAGGAATTACATTTCCTGAATTCGAGAACGTCTGGATCTTCATTGGCCAGGAACCTAATTTGAATGACTTAAGTATCTTGAGAACCAACTAGGGATACAGAAAATGCGCAGATGAGTCGCAAAATTGCTAGAAGAACAAGGATTTTTAGTATTTAGGTAATTATTGCCCGTGTTTTTCAGTATTTCTAATGAAAGAGTTAAATTTACTGTGCGAGATGGAAAGCAGAGTGATAATGACCGAGGAAGCGGGGACTGCTCTGCAGCAGAAGGATGAAACAATTGAAGAGATTGATTGCTTGTGGCTTATGTGGGATCACGTTGATTGGCAGGAAAATCTCCCATCGCCATCCACCCCGAACACGCGCGCCCAAAAACCTGCCTCTTCTTGCCCCCATTGACTGCCGCCCGCTCGTCGCCAGAAACCAGTTTGTATCCCAAGCAATACTCGAGGTCATCGTTGGATTTATGAAGCAAAATCCGCGCTCTTCACCCTTTATCCAGACAAGCCCGAATGGTCACCGTCACTCTAATTGCTTGGTCGAAGAAATGATCCACGACATTGCTTCTGCAATTCACGGCAAAACGGTCGACGAGATTTTGCCATCACCGCGCGAGGCAGACTATGTAGACTTACTAGAGGACCGTCGGCCATCCTGTAGAACAGCGTTGAAGTCGTTCGCTGTGATGGAAGAGGAGAAGGAAAAGGAGACCAGCGGATATTCGTCGTTCGAATTTTGGCGTAGTTTTTTGCGATCGCACTATACTTCAAAGATCGTCAAGGTTGACGAAATTCAGAAGTGAGAAGAGCAATGAAAGCCGCCCTCAGAGAAACGTCCCGTTGACAACACGACCTTAATGGCAAACAGTACAGTAAACGGCACAAATTAAGTTTCTCCCACGAGGCTATGACACTTACATTACTTACAAACAAGACATTTTTTGACTAAGTCACGACAGCATAAACTCAAGACTCCTGAGTCGGTAAACTGTGTTCAGAGTTCATTTTTGCCGCGTGCCGTTATCGTATAATTGATGTATCAACACGCTAATAACCAATTTAAATTAAATTATCCATCGGGCAGTATATATTTTTTATTGCTCGATAAATTATTTTTGTTTTCATCTGTAACAGGCAGTTCGTTTTCTCCTTTTTTCGCTTTATAGCGTGATTTGTACCTTTTTTCTTTTCGATTACAGTTGTGTTCCGAGGTTTTTTTTTTACCAAAGAGTGGTTTTAACTGATCGCATTTTTTTAATGTCTGAGTTAATTTTTTATTATTTTCATTTACTCAGTTTCTTTACTTCTCATTTTCATCTGGATGTTCAGTATTTAAGTTTTTAAGTCGTTCTCATGAAGATATTAAACGGTTTCCCTAGTAGGAAGCTATTTTCTATAACCAGCAAAAATTAATCGCGTTTTCTTGGGTCGATCTCCCTTCATATGTAAAAGGTGCCGCCCTTCCTTCTACAAAAAGCCGAAAAGAGAAACAAACATGACAAACAAACTCAATGACGGAGGTAAGTTTGTCAAGAATTTTCTCGAGATGTCAACCCTGAGAAACTCTTAACCGGTGTTCGATTTACATTATCAACTAGGTTAACAAAAACAAATTATCATGAAAAACAAACAACGGAGGATTTCTGCTTCTCGTGATACATAATTGTAGACCAGATTCTGAGTATTAAATGATCGATGAAGTGTTGAGATGCAAATGAATAAAGGCTGATAGTTTCGAAAGAAACTGTTTGGGGCTGCGTCGGTGCGAGTAACGAAATAATTTGGATATATCAACAAAGTTGAAGTGGTAAATTGGCCACCGTAACGATTACAAAAGCTGACGTTTAGAGTGTTAGCCCTTCGTCGGAGCGAATAGAGGAATTGTGGGTTGTGTGTGCTTTTAAAGGCAGAGAATGGAGCTCTTATTATTTTGAGATGCAAGTTGTATTTCATGTTTTGGTGTAAACTACATGGTGAAAGCTTTTGAAAAAGTCATTTGCCAACGACAATTATTTGTCTCAAAATACTATGAGTGATAAATGGTTAACTCGTGAAGTGATTAACACCAGTGACTGACCAAATCAGTTTTTATCGTCTGCGGAATTTTAGCTAAGGAAACGCTGTATCAAAAAAACGGTACTGCGCTATATTTTAAGAAAACATCAGCTGAATTTCCCTTTTTTTGAATCTTAACTCAAATTCGATCGCACCGCATGTGTTGCCGGCGTCCTAAATATGACAGAGAAAAAACATTGCATGGGCAAGAAGCTTGTTCTACATACCTTGGCATAAATTTTTAATTTGCGTTAAAATCAGTGTTTCAAACCGCTTTTCGACACACCGCTTCTGTTTTTCAGGACGTTTTAACCCTTTAAACTAGTTCTAATGACAGATTGTTTCATGTTGTAAGCTGAGACCTGGCTAGGATGTAAGAGTGTGATATAAATTTTTATTACATCTATTTTGAAATCACTGGTGGTCCCTGTAATCTGATTGGCTCTAATTAGTGCGATTTATTCACGAATCGCACCATTTTTTGCTCTAAATCGCATCATTTTAAGCCTGACTGAGTTTTTGACACATGACGTCAAAGTCTTTCTGTTTCATTTTGCATGCAAAATAAGATGTAAAAGCATTTCCGGCTCTGCTTTTTATTAAAAAACCGGCTCAGTGTTGCATCAATAAAATATTTGAATTGACCAAGTCCTGTATTTGGGCGATTTCAAAATGGATGTAATAAAGTGGTAGTTGAACCTCGTGTCGTGCAATTTTGGTCTGAAATCATACTTATGATTTCAGCCCAAATTGCACTCCACTCAGTTCAATTACCATTATGAATATCGGTTGATTGAACGAAGGAAAAAAAAGGTACCATGAATAAACGATTATCAGTTTAGATACTTTAGATTATAACTTTAACATTACATAATGAAAGCGAAGAGCAGCTTCAATTTACGGCTAAAACAAGGATGAACTCCGATCCAGCATAATGAAAAGACTGCAAGTAATCAACAGAACAAAAAAAATGCCACTGCACTGCTACAGCTTAAGCTGTTTGCTCGTTTTTACTTTGAGTTCTAATCGGCTCTCTGTAATGTTAAACAGTGTTTTTATTGCTCTTTGAAATGTTTAACAGTGTTTTGATTGGCTGTTGTGAGTACTTCGTTTTGACGTTCGACACCCACAATCGGTGTCCTAAACATTATGCAATGACGTATTCGTGTTCCATGTCAACCTTCCTTATCAGCCAATCATCGGGTTTTAGTTGCATTTCGCTCCGTCCCACGCCACCACGACATTTCTCGTTAGTCGCCTGTGTCGAAACCATGAACGTAACGACTGGCCGAACCTTGGAAGTCTCCAAGCATACATGAAAGGATTGATAATGGAACTTACGGAGAGAAATTCGTTCGCAACGAAGTAATATACTTTGTACGAATACGTGTTCCGACAGGAACAAAAATACAAAATCTGCACATGGATAAAATAAGGTATAAATGAAAGGAAAAACACGAAAAGGATCAACACAAAAGTTATAACCATTCTGTTCTCTCTCTCGAGTTGCTGCCTTCTGTTGGCCGCTGTGAGACTGGCGCGAACATTTCTAAGTTCCTTGCTTTGACGGAAGATCGCTCGGTAAATTTTCACATAAACTGCTGTTAGAATAAACGATGGTATTACGAAATGAGAGTAGCCATAAGCTAACAGAAAATTCTTTCTTTTGACTTCAGCAATGGGAAGGACAGACATGATTAATCCATTTATCCAGGTTACTGCAATAGCAATCTTGGCCTTTTTGTTGGTTATTTTCTGTGGATATTGAAAAGGTTTGATCACTGCTACATAACGTTCATACGACATCGCCATAAGAGTGCAAACAGCTGCGAGAATAGAAACAGCTCCGATAAAATACTCAATTAGATTTAGAACGAGCAGGTCTCCCAAACCACGGTAGAAGTAAGTTAACTCAGCACCTCTCAGAAAGCTCACAAGACCGACGAAAAAATCCGCGACTGAAAGACTGGCGATGAGGAACACAGACGGGGTCCGCAAACAACGACAGGGATCGCGACAAAATGTGAAGAACAGGAAGCCATTTGTGACCATGATTATTGTACCTAGAATGTAATCGAGAATCACGAAGATAAGTAAATTAAAACCAACGACTAAAATACCAGAGGCGGTCTCTGCTTCGCTTCCATTTGCCGACGGTGTTGAGTTCATCTTTAGATTTAGATTAAATTGCACCGGCACTCGTCAAATGAATGGTTCCTTTTCTGAACAACTCCTTCTAAGACCTCTTCGGAAGCCAGAAGCTCTGTAAGTTATGGACACTTCATTTCTAATTGATGCTTTATCTGTTCAATGCAAATCTGACAACGATCATAGATTAGACCATTAACACGCCTAAACGTTAACAAAAAGTTTTCAGATAACGCAGAAATGACACAAGTATTTCATGAGAATATTCCATGTACGTGCGAGAAACTTCAGATATAGCCTGTGACAGGTTATAATATCATAGATGACACAACATTTGAGCAAACTTTAATGCACGAACTCTGTTTCATCTTTTCATCGCTTGAATGTTGTTAAATATTCGATTGTAAATTGTTTTCTCTTTCTGTTTTACTGAGTTAACTTTTCTATAATAAATGCGAGCTGCACAGAAATTCGTTGAAGGAAGGAACTTTGAAATCCTTATAAATTCAAATTGACCCATCATGATCATCAGGTAATATTCATTGCCATGAATGTATTTTTACCTGTTTCTACAAGCAGCTGTGTTTCCAGGACTATTAAGAGAATAACCAATAACTGAACGTCATCAATTTCTAATTAAGTTTACGACTCAATTGTCAGTTGCGATAATGTTAATTTGGGGAAGCACGTACGACGAGCAACAAACCTGACTGCAGAGAACTACAATGTTCGATTATAATCACGATTTTTTATTTACTGTCCATGTGATGCATGTACTGGATGACATTTAGGGAAAGGTCAAGAACATGGGATGAGATCTGGTTTAATAAAAAACGATCAGGCAACATTTGTACAAGATTGCTTTAAGATGGACGTATTCGAGTTTATTTGAGTCGCAAGGTCTCTACTAACGAAATTATGATTTTTCGTCAAATTCCTATCAGCCAGACGATTGAAAAAAACGCCGAATTAACTGCAGAATTTTTAGGTCATTTTTGTTAATGTTCCGCAAATCCTCACTTGCTTAGTGCCTAGTCCCTTGTGGTCCTCCCTTTCTTTCTTGTACGTGCCTAGTCCAGGAAAAATGGGAAAGAGAACAACTCCACAAGTCTTTCCCGGTGTCTAGGTACTAATATTTGATATCCACTTACATCAACCATATACCCCTAGCAACCCCTATTAACTATTTACCCCTACCCCTTACGGAAATTTCGCCAATGATCAATACTCTGGGTTAAAACTACAAAAATCATCGAGAATCAAACATAAAAGACACCACATATTGGTATAGTATTGTAATAATTGTCCGCAGTAGTCTGGGACGAGACTGGCATAGTCCAGTGTCGTGTTCGGTTCGGTTCTAGTGTGTCGTTAAACAGTTTGTCTTCTATAGTTCAATAAAGTTTGGTATCACAACATAGGGGTACCGTATCAACATACAACTATTGTTCAGTTTTGGTAACGCTGTATTTGGTTTGTTTACTAGAAAGTCCTTTTGTCTTTTCACAATCGAGGGCAGTTGACTGGGTTTGGTTTGTATACACTTGTTCACGATAAAATAAGAGCACTTTTGCAGTAAATGGTTTGAACCCGGGGGTAACATGTGAAGGTGTAGTCTGATCGTCCGGGTGAGTGTAGTCCTGAGAAGGACTGTTGTCGGTGGCAGTGACTGACGTTTCGACAACCTGTGCGGAAGTCATCATCAGAGTCAAGTGA